AAAACAGTACTGCCGGGGTTTGTGCAACCAGCTAAATCTAGATGTGTTTGGCTTGCTTGTGGGTCTGCACATCATGGGAAAATGGCCACTGGGATGCTGCTTTTTTCACTTATGCAGCACCAGCGACATCTTGCCAACAAAAACTGTTCAGGATGTAGGGGGGTTGTTTTTACCCCATTATATCTGATCGCCTTGGCAAAGGAGGAAATAAAAATAAGGCTCCATTTCCCTTGAAAGAAAGTATGAAAGTGTTCAGGGAAAAAAATAGTTTTCATAATTAAGAGAAAATACTCAGAAAAAAACTAGGATAACAAAGTGAAAATGGGCAGGGCTACTGAGTCTTTTAAAGTTGAGTACAACATAATAAATGTGTTCTTCTACTTAATGAATAAAACTGCAGAACTTAATTGCCTTTGGAAATTGGCCACCCTAGAAAGAGCAGCCTGGTATCTGAGCATGTAGCATACTTAACACCAGTTGATATATCTTGGTTTCCGTTCATAAAAAAGAAAACACTTTTTATGACTGCGGAGAAAAAAATTGTGGAGCAGCAGCCAAATTTCATACTTTCATAAATTTGTTCCTTTCCTATACCCTCCAAGATGCTTCTCACAACTGTCTTTAGAATGATGAACTGTTCACTTCTCTTAGGGGGAGCTAAATACCAGCTAGGTATATTCTAACATCAGCAATGTTAATTATCTCACCCCTATGAAATACAGCAAAGCCAGGGCTACAGCATGGCCCCAAGCTGAATCTTATTCTGGAAGTCACCCAGATGAAGCACATTTTGGGGGAGTGGGGAGATTTTAAAAGTTGCAATTTCTACTGTCTTTTCAACTCTTAATTTTTTTAAAAAAATTACCTAAATACAAACAAAAACAAACAAACAAACAAAAAAGAATATACATTATTTTATAAAATTATAAAGGAAGAAAAAAAGCTAAAAAGAAACAAAAACATACAGGGCATATGTTTATTGTACAACTATATATATATAGTTGCACAATAAACATTTCGATAAATGGAAACCACAGCTTTCTACAGTCAGCAATTGTCTTTTTACCTCTTGATATGTCCTGTCATTGGATTCCTATCCCACTGACTCACAGCAGTTGAGACTATATATTACACACTGCAGTGTAACTGGTATCAGCCGGGAAAATAAATTTGCTCCTTTCCTATACCCTTCATACATAAATAGTGATGAAGAGAGTGATTGAACAGAGAGAGAGGCATGGTGATCAAAATCAAATGATGGATGTTGGCAGTGATTCACTAAAACTTCTCCAATCTGATATCCTTCAGATGGACGGTACTGCATCTCTCCAAATTCAAAAGGGAAAGCATTGTCGTCATCATCATCATCATCATCTTCATCATCATCATCATCATCATCATGTTTAATGTATGTATATATTCTACGCTCCCAGGAGAAGCTAGGCCATGGCGGCTAACAAGAAAAGGCCAATCAACAAAAGTAGCTGTACTATTATTATTTTATAATGTTAATTAGTAATAACTTTATTTTTTTTCCACAAAAACAGATTTATCAGCACGTATCAAGCTCAAGTTCGAAAATAAAGAGGGGAAGATAAGAAGACAGGGCATAGATGGTTACATATGTGGTAGATTATGTCAGATATTAAATGATAAGTAATAAAACTATTATTTGCGTATAGACCTTTGAGTGGTTCTGTTAGAAGCAAGACCTTTTTAGAATCCCACATGAGCAGGCAAGATTGGTTCTGAAGAATTTAGCGTTTTTACTTCTAAAGGACATGAAGAAAAACCAAGTTGGTATTTGGATTCCATGTGCCAAGCCACTTTAAACAAACAGGTGA